TATCTTGTTTACGAGTCTATTTTCTTATTCTCTGGCATAATCGACGAAAGCTCTGTGTAAGCTTATCATTTTTTTATTTATATCAAATGGCAGGCGTTTTGATGGCTATCATTAGCCCTTTAGTTGACTTCGGGCTTCACAGAGTTGAAGGAACATCAAAGTGGAAAAAGTCGAGAGGAGGGGAACAGAAGAGTGTTTCAAAGATGTAAATGAGACAGACATAAAGGTGGCCAAAAGGTGAGGTGAGTACTGTGGAAGTAGTCGAATATGACATACAGTGGGGTGATAGTAGTTTGAAGTCAGAAGTCAACTGCTGATTGATAGACATTTTTGCCTTATGGGTATACGTTGTACAGAGTGCACCACTTGGAAGTAAGTCTATCGCACACCCCTGTAAGCTTATCATAGGGGGATACTTAGTTCGACACCTTCCTTTAAATTTTTCACCTATGTGCTATGTAGGTACATATTTCTTTCTTAAATAAGTCCATCTAGTAGAATTGGTTATTGTAGGTTTGTATATGCTGTGCCTGTTTACCATGGAGAGCGAGATAGTTTATGATTTCAATGAAAAAAACAAGAGTTTATTTTAGATATATTTATGGTCAGTTCTGTTCCATTTTCAGAGTTTTCTTATTCATATTTTTCTTCTGAAGCCCTATTGATTTTGGCGTAGATGTGGGTTTCTGCATCTGTTTAAATTGGGAGAATGCATGGTTGAATAATATTGGTGGTGAATCTCTTGACTCTAATATCCCTTTACACCGGTCTTAGCTATCAGCTGTAAAATGAATTTGGCATCTGAAGCTAATGAACAATTTGTTTTAACTCCAAATGTTATTATCATACTGACCTTATGTGAAATCCCTTCATTGTTGAAAATTAATGATTCTGCGCGAATACACATTGACCGCTTAATCGTGCACGTAGGTAGTTTCTGTTGCCTATAAGGCGGAATTTGATTTCCATATGTCGGACCCTATAATTAATAATGTAAACCAAACGTACTTATCTTCAGTTCATTAAATTTTATATTGTTGATAATATTTTAAAGATAAACAAATTCGTCTTTATTTACTGGCCTCAATATAGCATATAGTGCTAGAAGTTCCAGGCTTTTACTCCAGTTGTTGCTCCTTTTATTAGTTTCAAAATCAATAGTTTAAGGTCATCCCTTCAAGGTAATTAGTGCAGAATATTTGTGAGATGCAGGCCACTCTTGTCTAGCAATAGAATAAATATACCTCATCTATAATCCTGCTACTAGTAATCTGTATTGAATTTGGAAATATTTACTGGCAGCTCTTTTAACTGTTTGATCCGAGTTTCGTATTGACCACATACGGTGGGATTTTAAAATACTTGGTCAATTTTCCAAACTAACTTTATTCAATGCATGAGTAAATCCCAAGCCTTTTTTTGATGGAATTTTCAAATTGATTTTGGGTAGTGCGTTAAGATCATAGAGACTTTCAACTAAGAGGCTTATTGGTTGGCATTAAATTCATGGCTTCTAACTATGCCTATAAGTGTTCTAATCATGGCACTACTAGTTCACTATTCATTCCATGTCTAGTTATTTCATTTATTCGAGTATTCTAACGAAATGAGCAAGAAGTAACTCTTATGGCTCAGCAATTATAATTAAAATGGCGTTATAATCTCGGCCGAAATTTCAAAGATATTCTAAAGCTGATGATTTTGCATATCATCGATATAGCCATAATGTGCCTTTTGCTAAAATCGAATCTTCCCCTACTTTAGGTCACCATCAACTCAAGTTTTTGCCGACACTCGTTTGGCCTGCACTCTCGTAGAGCGTCTAGCTGTCGCGATCTCTAATTCCGAGCCTGTTCTTCTAGTTGGTGAGACCGGAACGGGTAAAACCTCATCTATCCAACGTCTCGCTCTCATGGCTGGTCGTCGACTTCGGGTGCTCAATCTTAACCAACAGTCTGACAGTGTAGATCTCCTAGGTGGTTTTAAGCCTGTGGACTCTAGAGCACTGGTTAATCCTATCCGGGAGAAATTCGAGAGTCTTTTTGTACGTACTTTTCGTCTAGAATCGAATCGCAATTTCCTCGGACATATCCAAGCATGTGCAACGGCTGGCCGATGGCGTGACCTCTTAACACTTCTCAAACATCCGGCCACATTAGCTATTCGAAAGCTCTTGGCTCCTCAAAACAAAGAGACTGAAAGTATAACAAATAAAGGTGGTAGTAGTAGTGGTCAGCAGCCGAAAGCTACTCTTGAAGAGTGGCAGGGCCTTTTGGCTGAGCTAGAAACCTTTGAAAGTCGGTTGTCTGCTTCATCACAAGCAAGTGAAAACGGTGGCATTAATTCCACATCTTTCGCCTTCGCTTTTATCGAAGGAACTTTGGTTCAATCTCTGGAGAAGGGAGACTGGTTGCTTCTAGATGAGATCAATCTTGCCCCGGCAGAACTTCTTGATTGCCTAGCTTGTCTTTTAGACTCGACTCGTGGGTCCGTGACTCTTATCGATAGAGGGTGAGTATTTCTAAAAATCTTTCTATCCTAAATATCTTCAAAAGGCATTCTTTTATCAAATTTCTCTTTTAGCGATATAGAACCAGTTCGCCGTCATCCGGATTTCCACCTTTTCGCGGCGATGAACCCCTCAACAGATGTGGGTAAGCGTGACCTCCCCATGGGCCTACGTAATCGATTTACTGAGATACGTGTGGCAGAACTAGAACCTGCTACGAGTGCTGCAGATCGGGAGGACTTGGCACTTCTTATTCGTACATATCTCGTCGCTCTTAGTCCTACGGCGGCTCAAGTCTCGGCTGTTGTTCAACTCTATGCGGCTCTTAAGCAAGCAGCAAACGAAAGACTAATTGATGGAGTTGGTCAGCCTCCTTGCTTCAGGTTAGTTAACTTGTTACTACTTTCTCTACTGCTGGTGTCTTCCATATGGCTTGAGCCGTTCTATTATGTAATATATATGTAGTGTACATTTTAATCTTATCATTCATAATGATGTTTGAAAAGCGATATTACGATATTGAGGTTTGGCTCACACCTCAATTGTTAGTTCAGCAGAATTCACTTTGTTTTATTGAAATGGCCATCTGTTATGGCCGAATAAACCATAATTACGGCAAAAAATGAGCCTGAGTGGTTAAAACGGCTCAGTGCCTTTTATCAGTTGAATAGTCATTAAAATGAGATTTCAAAGGAATTTTGGCTTCTCAAATCTACCTCTACTTGTCCGATATTTCCAGAAAAAATATTCCCTTTTTACCACTGGGCTTTTACTCGATGCACTTGAATTGATTTTTTTTTCAATCCAGCTAGGCTTAAAAGTACGCCTCTTAATAACGGTAATTAATTATTTCCTTAAAATTTCTTTTTGTTAAACAATAAGTTAATAGGTTCGATATCATATCTTTGTTTACTTTTCTAATAGAGCAGTGTAAACAAAATGTTAATCAATGAGATTTTTTTAGAAATTGTGTTTTTTTGCTAATCATAATAAAACTTGTTTTTTTTTTATTTCGAATATCTTCATCCTTTCAGCTTGCGAACTCTTTGTCGTGCCCTTACAGAAGCCTCGCGAGGCTATCATGGCAGTTTTTTGCGGTCTCTATATGAAGTGAGTACACCTTATTATATCCCACAGACTCTATGTTCAAGCAGCTTCAAGGCCCTAATTTTTCCTATTTCCAGGGGTTTTACTTCAGTTTCGGCTCTCAGGTAGGCAGAGCCAGCCGTCCTTTGCTTGAACGTCTAATTCTTTCATATCTCCTCACTACTACAAAGCAATCGCCTGGAACCAAAAATGACAAAACAGCCCTAGCACGTCAATTCCTTTCCAAACCCCTTCCCCAGCCCCCACTTCGAGACGGTGATCGTGGTTATGTTCAAGTTGAAGGCTACTGGGTCCCCCAAGGACCCCTTAAAATTCTTGAAGAAAAAGATGATGCTGTGAGGAAGTCTTATGTTCTCACAGAAACCGTTCGTGGTAATCTGAAGGATCTAGCACGTGTTGTTTCTGCAGCGTAAGTATTGTGGAAAGATATTATGTTTAATTAATTGGCTTTAAATAAAAAAATTAAAATTGTATATAGAGGAAGCTTGCCTGTACTGCTTCAAGGTGAGACCTCAGTAGGAAAGACGTCTCTCATCACCTTCTTGGCTGCAAGAGTTGGTCAGGTCTGCCACAGAATCAATAACCATGAACATACTGATCTACAGACATATCTTGGTGCCTATACAGCTGCTTCTGCTACTTCTGCCTGTAAAAACGCCGGCAGTGGTTCGGGAGCGGTACCACTCGTTTTCCAGGAGGGTATATTTGTTCAGGCAATGAAACAGGGACACTGGATCATACTGGATGAATTGAATCTTGCACCCACTGAAATTCTTGAAGCGCTTAACCGCGTTTTAGATGAAAATCGCGAACTCTTCATCACCGAGACTCAAGAGATGGTGAAAGCGCATCCTCATTTTCGAGTTTTCGCTACTCAAAACCCTCCTGGTCTCTATGCTGGTCGTAAGGTGCTATCGCGAGCTTTGAGAAATCGATTCGTTGAGTTACACTTTGATGCGTTGCCTCGAGCTGAGCTGGAAGTCATTCTTGAACACCGTTCAGCGTTACCACGGTCTCGAGCGGCAAAAATGGTTGAAGTCATGCACCAGCTACATGTAATTAGATTTCTTATTTCTATTTTAGTTGCAGTATAAGGCGATCTGTATAATTGCATCTTCTTTCCCATTAGCTCATTCGCCGCTCCTCCGACATCTTCCGAGGCAAGGATGGTTTTATCACGCTTCGAGATCTATTCCGCTGGGGTGAACGTTACAGACTAGCTACCTGTAATCAAGGGAAGGAGAATGAGTTATTTGATTGGGACGCTTATTTGGCTGAACAGGGTTACCTATTGCTCGCGGGTAGAGCTCGACATGCCGATGAAGCTAAGGCTGTTGCTGACGTTATCCAGAAGGTTTTTAAGAAACAAATTCACGAGGAAAAGTAAGTAGAAGTAATGCGTTGACCTTTCATCTAAACGCCTATTGTGGTCTGATGTTTTCATTCCTTTCAGTCTGTATGATAAGAGTGAGAACACATCAGCGGTCGCAGCTGAGTTTTTATCGGTAATAAATAATCCCCTTGGAGGAGAATTTGATCATATTGTCTGGACCAGGGATATGAGACGTCTACTAGTTCTTGTTGGCAACGCTCTTAAATACAATGAACCCATCCTCCTTGTTGGTGAAACTGGGTAAGTGATTGTTTTCCCATCAGGTTTTCTAATTAGTTGGACAGGCTGCGTCAAATATTAATCGAAATGATGTTGTATTGAGGTTTGGGAAGGGGATTTGATTAACTTCGTCATTAGGATGGCGGGGCTTCTCACTGAATTAGGTACCCGTTGTTCCACCATTTTCTTCGTTTAGGAAGTTATAGAGTTGGCGAACTTCATATTGGAATTCCTTATCAGCTTAACTATGCTTTATTGCGTCATCACTAAATCAGCTTTAACGGTTATTATAAGTCAATAAAGAAATGGGGGAATACAGGTGTCTTCAAAGGAAGTTAATTGTGGCATGAATGAATTTATAAAACGTCCTCTCTAGCCGAATTGTGTTTACCTTTTCTGTCCCTTTATTCACTTTAGGTGTGGCAAAACGACCATCTGTCAGATCTTTGCTGCACTTCGAAAACGTAATCTTCTTTGCGTGAATTGTCATCAATACACTGAAGCAGCCGATTTTCTCGGTGGTCTTCGTCCCATTCGAACGCATCAGCCTGATGATCCCAACACCACGGATGATCGTCTCTTCGAATGGGTGGACGGTCCTCTTGTGCTTGCTATGGTTCAGGGCGACATTTTTCTTTTAGACGAGATCTCTCTTGCTGACGATGCTGTCCTCGAACGTATTAATAGTCTCCTTGAGCCTGAGCGCAAAATTTGTCTTGCCGAACGTTGTGGCGACTCCTTGGAGTCTGAGGAGATTACTGCTGTTGCTGACTTCCGTCTCCTAGCAACCATGAACCCTGGTGGCGATTATGCGAAGAAGGAACTCTCTCCAGCTCTGCGCAATCGTTTCACTGAAATCTGGTGTCCATCACCGACTTTTATCGTAGAGAAATCGGCGATTGAAATGACCGATTGGCAAGCTATTGTTGAGCACAATTTGCGCCGAAGTGATCTGCTTGTTGATTTGACTCCCTTAGCCAAAGCCATTGTGGATTTCTGTTGGTGGTTTGCTCAAGGTCGCACTGAGGTGGTGTGTGGAGGAATGGCAAGAAAGCGACGATGTAGACGTCCATTCCCTACTATTCGAGATTTACTTTCCTGGGTGGAATTCATGCAGAATTTGGCGACTTCGAGGCATGATTTCTCTCGAGCTTCTATCTTCAACGCATGCCTTCATGGTGCAGCATTAATCTTCCTGGACTCTCTAGAGGAAGAGGAACGTAGTTCTGATGAGCATATGGAACATGAGCCCTACCTCTTTGTTGACGAAAGTAGTCTTCAGACTTCTCCAGAGACACTTTATAAGTTCAGTCCAGTTGGAGGGATAAATTTTCTTCTGAGGTGCCTTCTTACGCACTTTGAAGTTAAGGAATCCAATCCTGATTTACTTGATGATATTAGGACAGCAGCTCAAGAGTTTGTTATGGGTCTTAACCTACAACCAGGTCAATGTGTACCTGAACTGAAGGACTCAAATAAGCTCTATGGTTGTGAGCCATTTTTTATTGAAACAGGTTAGTTAACTACGCATCTTAACTACTTTACATATTTCCCAGGCAGTGAAATTTATGTTAATTTTTGTACACCTATGTTGGCCTACAAAGTACCTTCATGCCTATTCTATGGGGAATTGAGATTAGGGCTTTGTCATTCCCTCCTCGTTGACCATTTAGTGCCGGTCTAGTTTGTCCAGATCTCAAGGGATATGATTTGAAAGTACTCTTGTTGAATCTCTATTTCTCTTCTCAGGTCCAGAACTATCACCCAAGGAGCTAGTTGGCTCACGAGCTCCGATAAACTTTAGTCTGAGTGCCGTTACACCGGCGTCGAATTTATGTCGCCTCTTGCGAGCTTTACAACTTCCAAAACGTGCTCTGCTTCTTGAAGGTAGTCCGGGTGTCGGAAAGACTTCTCTAGTTTCCGCTCTCGCTAGAGCTGCTGGCCATCGGGTTGTTCGAATTAATCTTTCCGAAGCAACTGTAAGTTCTTTAATCACAAAAACATGATGTTTAATTTAGTCTATTGACATTTAAGCATCTCTATTTTTGTAGGAAGCAAGCGATCTTTTTGGCTGTGATCTTCCCGTTGAAGGAGCTGGTTGTGGAACATTTGCTTGGTGTGATGGACCCCTTCTTCAGGCCCTTCGACACGGACATTGGGTGCTTCTTGATGAGGTATGTTTCAAGCACTTCTCTTGTCATTTTGTGTGTTTTTTCTTTGGTGAGAAGTTATTACCGTTGACACGATCCTTGCCAGAGTTCTTATTGGTAATTTACCCTTTGTTACAGTAATTGGACTTTTGAGAAATCTTCGCAAACTTTACTTTTGAGAATTATAATGAACCCAATAATTGTGCGACTTTTAATCAGTTTATTTTGAAGGAGAAATATCCTAACCAAATGGGGGATTACTTTTTCCAACTTCCATAATTATCAATTACCCTTTCAGTTATTTATAATTTCTAAGGTGGTAATTGGACTCTCATTCTTTTGTAGATGAATCTGGCCTCCCAATCTGTGCTTGAATGTCTGAACGCCTGTTTAGATCATCGTGGTTCTATCTACATTCCGGAGTTGGGAACCACTTTCCACGTCAAGCCTCGCGCGACCCGATTATTCGCCTGTCAGAATCCTGTTGAAGAGGGTGGTGGTCGTCGTGCCCTTCCAAAGTCATTTCTTAATCGATTTACTCAAGTGAGTATCTTGAACCCTCAAAATATTAGCCCCTTCGATCCTCGGTTCATGCGGTTACTTTCTATGTTCTTGATTATTTAGGTCTACCTGAAACCCTTAACTGCGTCCGATCAAATAGCAATTCTTATTAGTATATACAACGATCTGCCTGTTCCTCACATCGAAGCCATGGTTAAGTTCAACTCAATGGTAAGTTATTTTCTGCTTTAAAAATAAGATGCTAACACATTTGGATTGGTTGAAAAAGACAGAATTTTGGTGTTGAATTTAGTTTAAGTTTGAGATCCTAGAGCAATGACATCTATAATTTTTCTTGTTTGTAACGCCAGAGTGTTGAAAGTTGGCCAAAGTCACTGTTTGATCATTGTTAACCGAATGCAAGTTTCTCAGGCAGAGATAATTCAGAGTAGACAAGTAATGTCTTCATTCAAATATCTTTGAAATTGCATAGAGGGACTTAATCTCCAATCGATTCGTTCATAAATCGGACTGAACGACAGTTTGTAAATTTGGACTTGACAACGCTCTGCTAAATATCTCTCGGCACTATCAGTTTGATAACATATCATTTTGTTCATCGTTATTTTCCGCTTATTTAGAGCTTATCTTTGTTTTCTTAAGATTGCCCTTGATATCTATTTTTTAGATAATCACGTGAAACTCTAGTAAGGCTATGGCAGATTCCTACCTACTCTTATTTACATGCTCTTACCAATATTTTTTCACCTACGTGCTAATCTCTTTCTCCCACCTTAGCTTCAAGACGCTGTTGAAAGAGGAGATTCTTTCAACGCCGTGGCTGGAACTTCCTGGGAATTCAATCTCCGTGATCTCTGTCGTTGGGGTGACCTTTTGATTGCAGGTCAAGCTAACTTTGGCACCAACCCCGGCCTCTATGTCTACCTTATCTATGCTGCTCGTATGCGTTCTAATGAAGACAAGACGAGAGTGGGTTGTTTGAAAATGATTGGTGATTGACTCATGAAACCGAATTCTGAGTCATTTTTTTAACTTTAGGTAATTGAACTTTGGAATGGCGTGGCTGAAGAGACCGGTCTAGGGCGTTGTTACATTCCTCGAGGTTGTACTTATCCACCGATTGGGAATAAATTTCAAATTGGCCTCTCCACTTGGTCTGTTAATGGTGCTGAAACTCGAACTGAAATCATTGAAGATAGCCTGCTTATTTTGAATCAACATCGTCCCTATTTGGAGATGCTGCTTAAGATACTACAACATGGTTGGATGTCTATTCTTATTGGTCCCAGAGGGGCAGGTAATTTTTGATACCCATTCACTTTTAGATTCCCCACTTACATATACTGAATAGTCAATCGGTTATTGGTTTAACCTTGTCGAATCTTCCCTTTATTCTTTTTCCACTTCCCAGGTAAACGCTCACTGGTACACTTAGCAGCTCAAATTGTTCATCGTCACGTCGCCACTGTTGCTCTTTCCCCGTCGGCAGACACGGTTGAATTACTGGGGGCTTTTGAACAGCATGAAAATGGAGGGATCTTCGCGTGGATAGATAGTCCTCTAGTGCGTGGAATTCGTGAAGGCCACTGGGTCGTTTTGGAGAATGCTCAGCTCTGCAGGTACACGAACTTTTCTCTTCTTATTTCTCCCTCTCTCAAAACAGCTTTTGGTAGCTTATTGCGAATTATTAAGGAGAGCGTATTTAACCTAGAATTGGTATTCATTGCACCAACGTACTTCTATCTATCTCTTCCCGTGAACGATTTACAAGTTAATTTTCGTTGAATTTATGAAAAGCCTGATCTTTACCAATTAAAAGATGTATCCTTTGTAAATTGTTATTAGTTAAATCTGCAGAGGGTTGGACAAATCTTTGAAAAGTTATTAACCATGGAAGTGACAAGATACATTTTGTGATATTTAACCTAGGTGCCTAACTACACGATAATTGTTATATAAATATATTAAGGTTCGTCTCTTTTATGCAGAGTTCTCTATGCATAACACACCACAACCACTTATACCATTTATCTTTCGTACTTTTCAGTCCCTCCGTTTTGGATCGCCTGAATAGTCTCCTGGAACCAGGAGGCGATTTGCTGATAAGCGAACGTGGTCTGGACGCCAATGGCGAGTTAGTTCGACTGAAGCCTCATTCAGAGTTTCGTTTAATTCTTGTGGTTGATGACAATACCCCTACGGTTGCAAGCTACTCCAATAATATCTCCAGAGCAATGCGAAACAGGGGTGTTGAAATGGTGCTCACTAATGATGTAAGTCAAATTGATGTAATTTAAAATTATTTCAATCGAGTTTTTCCACTGTTTCATCTGATCAGTAGTTATTAATAATCATTTCTTCAATCCTAACTACTTTTTATTCAGTTGACGTTCCACAAGGAAGATCTCCAGCGTCTAATTCTCAACACTGGCCTCTCACCGGCTTGCGTAAACGCTCTTTTGACCTTTGAATCTTCTGTGATTCAACGTATGCATACTTTAGCTCCTGAGGTTACTGCATCTTCACTGCCTCCTCGTAAACCACCGGTTGGTGCATTGCTTTCCGCTGCGCGGGTAATTCAACAAATCACCAGTGGTAAAGAGCTGGACGCACTTATGGGTTCAGAGGGAGCTGAGGAGACAACAGAAGATATCGCTCCATGGATGGTCAGATGGAAGGGTGAAGACTCCAGAAAGAAGGCCTTTGCTAAAGCTCTCATCGATGTCTATTCTCGAAGACAAACGGACCACAATGTCTCTCAGGTTAGCATTATTTACGTTTTTTTCTAGAATATAGGTATTTACGATGTTATTCTAAAACTAAATCAATCTTTCGATATTTTTAGGTTCTAATTAAAGCCATCTGCAATTTCGTAGACAATGAGCTATCTACCTTGCTAGTGTCAGATCAAATTCCTCTTCAGCCTCGACTTAATCATGTCAGTGAACTCCTTTCCTCAATTTCACCTCTAGTCAACCAATGGCGACATGTCCTCGAACATTGCTCAGCAGTTCTCTCATCATCTGATAATTCTCTTCTCCCTATTCTTATTCGATTTTCCGTTGAACGTGGATTCAAGATACCCTCCTCCACAGTGTCACTTTCTATTAAGCAATTCGCATCATCTATTAATGAAGTCGATAATATAGATCTACGTTGGATTCCTGGTTGGACTTGCATTGTAAATCGCACTTCTGAGAATCTTCTCTCTACTTGGAATTCTCGAATTGTTGATGCATTCCTCTCGAATCTGAAGTCATTCCATGATAGCATTCTCTCCACTTCAAGCTCATTGACTTTCAATGATCAGATTCCCGTTATTTGTGCTCTAGATCATTTCGTTAAGGGAGATATTCCTATTGCATTTTCAGAAGCTTATCCAGGTCTTCAAGGCCTTTACTCAGAGTTACTGAATGCTATAAGCAGCCTCAGAGAAACCTTTTACAATTGCGGTCATGGTCATCTTGATTTCCGCCATTTCCTCTCAGCTCTGGCCAAGCTTACCGCCTGGTTGGAGCAATTTGGTTCCCAACCGATTGGATCCGCTTCTGATTGGTCGGAAAGAATCGAGTTCTTTGCTCACTATTGTTGCTCGTCACAAGCTGGTGTTGCAGCTGCAGTTAGGATGATGGAATTAATCCGCAGATACCTTCAAGCACCAGTTCCAAAGAGTATGGAATCGCCTAAAAGACTCGATATCTGCCACCTTCCTTGGGCCAAATTGGCTCTTGTTGCTCAAGATCAGATATCTACTCTGCTGAATCCTATGGACGTCGATGAGATGGACAAGGCAATGGAGGTGCCTGATTTACCTTCCTCGGAGACTTCTGAAAGTATGCGTTTGTGGCCAGTTCTTGCTACTGGTCTAGTGTTTTGTCGATCCAAGGATGCTTCCTTCACAGAATGGTCTGAAAATATGTCAAAAAACCTGCTTGTGGAACTTGGTATTCAGCTTGGAGCTCTTTCACGTCCGCGGTTGCTCGAACTATGTACTGTATCCTCTGAGAAGTCTTCTGAAAGTATAACCGATGTCCTTCTCCTTAGGAACCGAGCATTTTCATCTCTAGAACTATCTGATCCATTTGGCTTAGCGAAACCTGATCTTGTCCATGAGTGGCGAAGCCTATCACAATCGGTATTAGCTGTTAACCACACTGATTCTTTGAGCTCCCAGAGCGATGGGGCAAATTGTTCCTTCGCTGACTGGATCTCCCATCAGCAAATACTGTCAGATTTATTCCATTTGCTTCAAAAACTTGTACCTTTATCGACCAAACATCACAGAATTAGCCATTCTGTAGACAGGTGGGTTATTTTGATTTTGTTGCATTACTTATGGCGCACTAGTAGTATTGGTTGATTCATTTTCTTCTACTACAGTGAGATCCCTGAACTAATCGGTCTGTCACGATCTCTATTCTGCACCATTTTGACGGCAATTCACAAACGTTCACGTGGAAAATTGAGGTGGTTTTATAAAACAATTTTTGCCATTACATTTTGAGCTCTACAATCTGAATTAACGGCGCATTTTTGTTCTAGTGATGACTCACCTCCAATTTCAAGTCTTTCTGAGGTTATAGCTTCTCTTAGTGACGACAATGTGGAGGATTTTGCTGACACAGTCGATTCTCACATGGGTCGATTTCTTTCCGACCAGCCGTTACTTCTTCGTCTGCTTCGAGCATACTGTGCTTGCTTAAAGGGATCGTCAGGGAATCGGGACGAAGCAATTGCACGTGCTTGGGTTGTCTATGGCGCTCTGCAAATGCAATGTGCTTTTCCAGCATCCCCTCTCGATCCCAGCATCGTGAATGCATTCAAAATTACAATTACTCGCGATGAGGTAAGTTTGAGAGTAGTTGACGTATACTTATTTTTTGACTTTATTGTTGACTAAATTTAATAAATAACTGAACATTGTGCTCGTTTTTGGAATCATGGCCTAAATAATCAATTTCAAGCCCAAAGTAATGTTCTGTGCATAAATAAGACAGGCGATTACGAAACGGTGTTAAATCTACTAGGTGTACGAAAGGTGAAAATATGTGCCAGTAAACATAGAGTATACAAGTTGAGAGGAAGTGACTTTTCTATATTTTGCATACACTGCTTTCATGTTAGCCAGTGTTTTAGCTTTTTAAACGTCCTTTCCAACCTCGTTAGTTCCTCCAAAGTTGCAGGCTAAAATAAACTGATTGTTTGCCATAATTGTGTTTTAATTATTTGTTTGGTTTCTTCATAGCTCCATCGGCTTGAAACGGACCTTAAAGTTAGAGCAGTTATCAGATCTATTGAAGTGGGGTCTTGTGGACTCCCATGTACAAGTACTGATTTATCTCTACCTCACACTGGCTGTGTGGATATTGGAACCATCCAATCAAACGTTGAAGCAGGCTTAGAACATCCTCTTGTTGGAGCGATCGTCCAACGACGAGTCAAGGTTGCCAGGCGATTGGAACGTCTGGAAGAGCGTCAGGTTGTGAAACAGGACCATACTGCACTGCAATTGAGGGCGACTTCGAATTCACATGTAGGTCATTAGGATGCCACATTCGTGGATTCATCTAAAATCTTTTTCTAACAATTCATCATATTTTAGTATGTGGAACTGAGACGTCGACTAACAGCATTCAATCAGAACTTTACTGGAGATTTCTTACTGAAACTTTTGGAGAATGGTGTGTTCTCCAGGTCAGGAGCCCTTCAACAATGGATTGAAACTGCTGCCTCGCTCTCTGAATGGTTTATTCAACCTCAGAGACTTCATATCTATGCAGATGTTGTGGAACCGTACCTTTTGGGCTTATCTAAGGTATTATTTTACCAAAAATAACACTAGATGAAAGTTATTTTTAATTCTAAAACATCTTTGAAATCAGTTAACAGGAAGTCAATTAAGTGGTTAATGGAGAGTAGGAGGAGGGGGGGGGGGGGGGGTGGTTAGCTAAAATATTGAAAATAATACTGAGGCACCAAATCGTCTAACTTCATTTGGATTTCAGATCCACGCCCCATAATATATTGACTAAATGAGCATCTCAAACACTCCAAAATGAAAATTACATCGCTTTCTCCCCCTGGTGTTGCAGCCAATGCTTGTTGCATGTTATGCAAAGTTCTTAAAGACATTTTTTCCAAACGGCATTGACCCTATTACTGAAAGAGTTAATGATCTTTCATCTTTAATATAGCAAAGATTGGATAAAATTAACAGTACCACCTAATAGGCTGTATTCATTCGAGGTGTGAATTCAAGGTTTTTTCTCAGGTATTGGAGATGCTATTGGTCAAATTGACATGAATCATGATTCTTATGTAAATATTTTTTTTGCCTTTTAGGTCGTCCATGGTTTACGAAGCCTGGTGCAACTGGAGGTCTCCAAGGATGAAAATGTATGCTTAATGACGAAAAATTTTCCTAATCTTTTATGCATTTAGGATGACAACTTTCTTTAACTGAAATCGCGTACATTCAATTGTTTGTTTCAACAACTAAGATTGACTCATGAAAATGCTTGATAATGAAATGTCTGTGGAAACACGACTATTTATGAGATGTCTTATAGGTTTATCACATTAAATTTTAGGAAGTGCAAGTTTGTTAAAATGTAAAGTTTTGTTTCAATGTGAAAAGTTTAAATTAAAAAAACTCGACAAACCATGTTTAGTGAATAGGTGGATTTCTTGTTATTTGTTGCTATAATAGTTACTGCACCGTTTGGAAATCTCTAATAGTTCATTTTTGAACAGCTTCTTATCACCCACGATTCTTTTCAAATTTAACGAAAATTTGTTTAAGAAAATTTATTGCTCCTCAGCGTCTATCCAATTATCTATTTATTGATCGAGTTGGAATTATGAAAAAACTGTGGTTTTAGGCCACCAACTTTGTTAGTCTCGTGGAATGTCTCTCAACGGGGATGTTTCCAACACTCGCAACTAATACTACAACATCAGCCAAGGGTCTTCCTTTGACCCCATGTCTCCAGCTAATTCGTCACCTTGTCTCACCACAAATTCGCGGTCTTCTTCGTGGGTCGATATGGAAAGATCGTGAATCGGATAGTGGTGTTCTTTCTGGAAGGTCAATTTATATCGACGCTCGTGATGTTTTGGCTCATAGACGCGAGGTTTCTCTTCTGAAATTGGAAACGGAATATCGGTGAGTTGGGTAGATTTTCTTCTAGTGATGCATCCCTTTGCAATTCTTGATCTATTTTATTAAATCGGTTTTTAGAATGAACTCTCACATTCTCAATCTAATCATTATGGATCGTCTCTCATCAACATCTCTAGCCCAGCACCACGTAGACTTCATATCTCATCTTCTGAAAGCCCTCACTGGCTATCTGTGCCTCCGTTGGCGTAGAAGAGAGGCTAGAAGAAAGCGTGACGCGGAGAGACGTGCTGCTCTTTTCATCGAAGCCGAGCAGCGTCGTCGGAAGTGCTACGATGAACTCCAATCCGCTGCTTCTACAATATCTTCCTCAAAGAACATAAAGAAAAAGAAGGGAGTAACTCGTGCAGAACGCAGAAAGAGGGTTCAAGAAGCTTCGGAAGACAGGGAACTCCCCGAACTCGTTGACGCAGGTCTTAATGATGAAGTTGAGTGGAGATTGAGATTCTCAGAAACTGGTGCTATTGAGGCCAGAAAAGCTTTGACGTTCGCTTCTGGTGATTTCGAGGGATTGAGGTTGTCGAAAGAGGATGCAATTCAACACGCTGTTCGAAGCATTGAAGGAGTGAACTCTTGGTTTGAAAAAGAATTGGCGAATGCAGAAGGGGAGACAGAGGCGGAGTCAGAATGGTTACCGGGCGATGAAGAATTAGTGGGATTTGTTGATCGACTCGTTTTTGTTCTACTTCATATTTCTCAACGTGACTCAGGAAACGTTGACTTCGTATCACTGGCTGAGAAACATTGGTGGAGAACATTTATTGATGGATATCAATTTGCTGGTCATCTGTTAGCCCATTCGAGGTACCAGTTGCGTAAGTGAACACATTTCCCGTAAAGTTTTTTTTCATTCGTTATTTGTGAAAGTGGTAAATTGATTAGGTTATAGGTTACAATGTGAGTAAACATTGAAACGCACGTAGTAATGTGAACGACCCACTTACTAATTATATTTAATTAGCAAACTGCTTAATAAAATGCGAGTTCATTATCAGATTGACTCCAGAACACTTTTTCTCTACCTTTTTCGTACTTAACTTTTCGTAATGTGCTTGGACGTTTTAGTCAGCATTGGCCAACTGAAAATGACAAAGTAGACCAGAGTAGAGCTCAGTAATCTGGAATTAGGTCAGTTGATTAAATCGATTGTGGAAAGATGAATAGGTTATTGGTAGAATATATATAGTTGCGGTAGATACAAAGTAGATGGGAAAATGAGGCAATCAATTCGGAAAAATTCTTATTCTTAACAGCTGCTAAATCGGATGAGTTCTCAATGCCATCACATCTTCTTGCAACTGCTCGCTTTGCTCTCTCAGCTCGAGATGATTCAGAATCAGTTGAATTGGAGAAGGTCTTCTCCTTTGAACCCATTCAACAGCTTTTTAAGACGGAGTCAGTGACTCGTAGAAAGCGGTGTTTGGATGTGTATCATGATCCGATTCCCAAATCAGAGGGCAAGAAGGCATATGCCATGATGGTTGCTGTTCGAGCTCGGGTTTTGCAACTGCTCCAAGAGTGGCCGGATCATCCTGCTTTACTAAAGGTGGGTGTTTGGCTACTCAACTCGATATATTTTGAACTTGATTTAACAGAATAATTGTTAATCTCTATTTCACTCCTAATAGATTATCACTGTCATCAATCGGATGTGTGCATTCAGTATTAATGACTGCCTGACAAAGTACATCACTGCATTTGAGATGTTGTTGGCTGAGATGCAGGTAAGGCATTTTTTTCTAAATTTCCATTCAGATGTTGAATGGGGGGGGGGTTGATAAACACTCAATGATCTTATTCTCTTTTTAAAGGAATGGGAAAAGAATGCTGCTCGTCATGTATCCATATCCGATGCCTTCAGGTCCGTTTGTGATCTTCTTATTGAGTGGCGAAAATTGGAGTTGAAGTGAGTCTTTATTCGCTATTCACTTTATTTTTCCTACTTTTATAATAATAAGCCGCCTAGATAGCGGTTAGTTGAGTCATTTTTCAAGTCAGTCGAAGATTAGTAACGAGAATTCGAGGTAAATTCATTTAGGTTTTATGCGCCGGTGGCTTAGAGGCTAGCATTTCCATTTATTGATTCAGAGTATCAGTGGTTGGCTACGCTTCTAATGAATCGCATGGCCAACATTGCTGTCGAAAAAGGAGTTTCTCCTCGTACACATTTTACTCTTTTTCCCCAAGGTGGGTGTTGAAACACGCCCTCCCCCGGCTCAACAAATTTGAATATTTTATCTGGATTCTGCTATGGGTAGTATTTTGGATTCGCAGTGAATTGTCTTGGGAAAGTTTTGAGAGTGCAGAAGGGAATAAATTTCTTCGGATGTTAATCGTATTCGCATATTTTTTGTAGATGTTGGATGGCCTCACTGGATACTTCCACTGAATCAGCAGCCAATAGTTGTTCCTCGCTCTGGTTCCACCTTCAAAGTGTCTTCCTTCAACCTACCTCAACCGCCAACATTGCTGAAGATGATCAGTGTCAAATCCTGCTAGAGTTCATGGAGAACGGTCCAGTGGGTGAATTTGCTGCTCGTTGGCGTCTTCTGGCTGCCCTCTACAATGCCATCGCTATCTGGCCTGGTCTTTCTGACACGCGTAAGTGATTGTACCTCATTCTCCATTAAATTCTCGTTAAAATCTCTGTAACTTACTCCGCCCTCTCCCTATTGTAGATCGTTTTTCGGCTCGAAGAATGGTGGGAAATGTGGCCTGGTTCTACGGCCAATTCATACCACATGTGAAAAAATTCCTTCTAGATGAACAGAAACCCATTCGTAAAGAGATGAGCAATTTTATTTCCGCCATGAAATGGGGTGATTATATCGGCTTTTGGACAATGAAGGAGAATGTGGATAAGTGCAAGAAAACTATCCACAAACACGTAAGTTTTTTTATTGACAACGATATCTTAATTTCTATACAATAACTCATGTTTTGAAGTAGAATCGATACCTCAAACGGAGCTCCTGCTATTTTGAGCAGATTTTATCCACCTGTGGCTAGTAGGTAGTTGTGATTTCTTAATAGAAAAACCGCTGGGTCGATGAAGCCGAGCATATGTGGGGGGGGGGGGGGGGGGGAGCGATGCTGTGATTACTGCGTACTTTTGCTAACACCCAATGACGGTAATTGATTATCACATTAGGGGATTCCGCGAATGCCCTCTTAATTGACTTTGGACACTGTTATGAAAACCACATTATGGCCGCATTGTACGCCTAGAAATATTTCAGTGACAAATTTAGCTATTTTAGTGAATACTCACCTTTCATTGATAGAAAATCGCTGGTTGCACGGTATCTCATTCTTTCATTTTCTCACTTTCTGAATTCTTCCTAGATCCGAACCTGGGAGGGTATTCTACGACAGTCAGTGAAACCATGCTTCGATGCCGCAATCAAGACGTCTATAGAAATGCCAGTCCCTGATACTACCATGACAATCTTAGAACATATTCAGTCAATTGAAGAAAAGGACTTCGGGGTTTTCAGGCTGTCACCAGAAATGAAGACCTGGCTCTCAAAACTGACCGAAGAAAGAGAAATGCCTGTCAATATTCGGTTAGTTTAATTTCTCAAAAATTTATAGTTATGAAAACATCTAATTGAATTATTAATTTATCTTCTTCTAGCCGACTCCCAGTATTGACCAAACGCTTCAAAGCTCATATAATTTGCATCTCGAATTCGGCACCTTGCTTGTCTTGGATACAACAATTATGTGAATGTCTTGGCGATTGGATGAAACGTGTCAAGGAGCTATCTCGTTCAACTCAGCAACTCGATTCCGAATCTCCGCCCGAGAAAGCTCTTATTGCTGTTCTCAACGAAAAGGAGACATACAGGGACTCAAAATCAAAGGACATTGATGAAGAAGATCTGAAAAAGGCGAAGGATTGGTCTAGTCGATACACAGCTCTGCAGCAAAGTAAGAAACTTGCTCTTCACGATTGGTTCCGTCTCTCGTTTGGACTTCGCCAGTTGAAGTTTACTCAAAACGCTCTGAGGTTTATTTTTGTTTTCCAAATGTCATTTCATGGACCGAGATTATTCGAAAAGCTATTACCCCTTTTTATCTTGTAGAACTGAAGATGAACCTGATCTCTCAGACAATGATCTAAGTGAATTGCCTTTGTCAGATGGTGAAGTTCCCAAAGATGAGCATGATATGTGTCTGGGTCTGTCATATCGTCGAGGTCTTCGAAAGAGTCCTTTTGAGAAACCTCGCAGTCAGCTCATGTCAAAGCTGGGAGGTGATCTGTGGTCTTTTTCCACAAATCCTCCTCCTGTTTCTATTAAACACTTGGAACAGCTTATTTCTTCAGCGAGCATTTCTCAACTGTAAGTTATTGGTTGATGAGATTGTGATTGTATTAGGAGTAAATGGATAAGTAGTAAATCTATTTATTTAATAGACAAAAAATGGCTTCTGAGAGTTTAGCTCGGCTTCTCTCCCTCCGATCTGGTTTGCCAAAACATCCAGATAAATCTGAGATTGTCGATGATTTGGGAGGCCGTCAAGGTGTGGAAAAACTTATTGGATCGTTAGATGACCTCTTGGTGAACTGTGTGGATGCTTTTGAACCCTTCGGTGATCTTTACTCGACTTTCCTGAAATTGAAGGAAAAGGTTGAAGAGATTCATGCTACCTACAACAAAGGAGAGGCATCAGATTCTATGATTCCCTGTTCAAGACAATCCATGCGCAAATTGAGGGTATGTATCTGCTCTCACTTGGATAATAATCACTTTGGTATCGTTATACCCATACCTCATCTTATTTTAGGCTTCTCGGGATAGGATAGCAAATCTTGCATCTAGTTGTATTCAGCAATGGAATAAGTTCACCGAAACATGCTCTAGTCTTTCAATTCCGCCATCACAGTCTTTGAATCGTCTTCTGGACGCTAATTCGGATTATTTTCTTACAGAGGCCGCTACTTGTGATATTACAAAGGTCTTCATGGACTTCAAATCGCGTCTAGAATGTCTATCGAATCGTTTAGATCAACGCATTCCAAGGTTCTCCATTGCTATTACTAAGGATATTATAGACCAGCAGGAAATTCTTAAGGTATCTGCGCAAGAATTTATTCAATGTTGCCAGGAGATTACTATCCAAACTCGGGTTGATGCAGGTCTTCTCTCAGTTGCTAATTCTCTGTATTCTGAAGTTGAAGCCTCTAATGAATTGCTCTCTATAGCACGGAATTCTGTTTCCGAAACACCCGATTTTGAAAAGCGTGTTAGTTCAATAATTTCGAAGACTTTAGTCACGCTTCAATGTCTCAAACACTTAGACGAATCGATTGAAGTTGAACGCGGAATGATTGATCAGTTGAAAAATTGCGCATCCGTCCTTCCAGAGAGTTGCATCTCGAAACTTGAAGTCATTAATTCGAGTATTGATAAACTCTCCCCATCGTGCGCAAATGATATTCTTCACATTCAGTCTATCACTCCTCTTCTTGCATTGCTTCTGAATGTCGTCTCTTTGAGATTGAGGCATTTGCTTGGACTTCTTATTTCTTGGCTTGAGTTAGGTGAATTTCTTGCTCAGGTTGCCTTCCGTCTGCTCAACGAAGGCTTCTGCAAACCATCAGCTCTACAGAAGGCCTTTGGAGCTGGGGCCACCGGAAAAGAAGGTGCAGGCAGTGAAAATAGCAATTCTGCAGCCAATGAGAATGATGAAGGTGGCTGCACAAGTATCAATGCTGAAGGCGTGGACACCAGCGGAGCTAAAGACGTTTCCAAAGAGCTCCAATCACAGGAACAGATTGAGGGCACAACAGATCACCACCAAAGTCGTGAGGAGGATCAAAATGAACCACCTCCCGAGGCAGACGATAATGGAATCGAGATGCCGGATGACTTTGATGCAGCATTTGACGATGGAAGTGGAAGAGAGGAGAAAGACCCTAATAAGGATGATGCGAAAGATCAGGATGAAGATAATTTACAGGATGTTGATGAACAACTGGGCGAAGCGGGAGACGAACCCGATGAGTTTAATCAAGAAATGTGGGCCTCCGACGGCGAGGAAGAAACGGAAGAGGAAGATGAAAATGATCGAAAAAATGCTGACATGGATGAAGGTGGTGTACAGGATGATGCTAGATCCAATTCCAAGTCCTCTAAATCCACAGCTGTTAACGAGAAACCTGACGAGAAACCAGCTAAAAATGACGCACAGGAACAGGAGGAAGAAGGTGAGGTCAATGAAGATGGCGAAGATACAAGAACCGGTGCTAAGGAGAAGGAATCCTCCTCGGCTGAAAATGCGAATAAGACTGAGACAGTGGCTGGATCTGAGAATAAAGAGGAGGATGAAGGGGTTGAAGAGAAGGAGATGGCTAATGCCATGAAGGATGATGAAAATCGGCTGGCTTCCCAGGAAGCAGAGTTGCTAGAAACGGAAAAACAAAATGAAGAGGAGGTTGAGGTAACAAATGAAGATCCAATGGATGCATTTGGCGAGAATATGGATCTTGATCCGAATCCAGAGGAGTATGAAGACAAGAATGGTAAGTGGTATTGATTTGTTATATAATGTATTGACCAACACTGAGCTCTCACCACATATCCATAAATCCCTTTTCCTTTAAATAGATTCTCAAGTTCCAGATGAAGAGATTGATTTGAAGGCTCAACCCATGGAAGTGGAGGAAGACGGTAAGGATGAAGACCAATCAAATGAAATGGAAGTAGATGGAACTGAAGGTTTGTTTCTGTGAATCACTGAATTCTGTTGACCGTCTGTATTTCTGCTTATTAACCACTTAATTCCTGTAACAGAAACTGATAAAACAAAACCATTGGATGATCAAATGATATCCAATTACAACCCCGGAGCTGGAGATTTGAACACTGGCAATGTGAGTCTGGGTGACTTGCTTTTATTTTCCGAATTTATTTGATTATGACTTTAATACGCTTGATGTTATTATTTTATAACCGAGATTTACAATTATTAGCCAGACAAACAAGTTGTTCTCTTGTCAGTTAAATTCAGAGCCTATTGCTATTTTCATTACTCCGTTGCAGTCTGGGTTTATACTATTTTGACATTTCAGCTGTTCACACCCACGATATCTTTATCATTATCCCCATCATTCGCTTCCAGAAATGACTGCATTAATTGATTTAACGTGGTCTAAGTTGGTATTTACTGCAAAATATAGGTAGACATAAGGATAGAAAAGAAGACTAAGACATCAAAAATAAGAAGGAGAGAAGAAGTAGACTAATTTTGCCAATGCTGATGTTGCCAAAAGCTTTTCACTTGTCATTCCACATTAGCTGGCGAGATGGTTTGATCCCCCACTCTCAAATCCTAAGTAGCAATGCCTTTGACCGCTTTCCGCTCTATTACCTCTAATCTCCCAATTGGAGTTTCTTAAAATGGTGTCTATTCTAATATGATGAAGTAGCTGGTTTATCGGACACACTTGTCTTTGTTTGAGGACTTAGCGACTTTTTCCTTAAATTATTTCTTTTGAATTTACAGACGGAAGCTTTCGACAAAAACCCAGATTATAGAGAGGTACGTAAATGCGTTATTTCACTGCATCCTATTTCATTCATGGCTCCTTGTGGCGCTTGGACTTTCTTTTTTTACTTTTACTTTTTTTCTTTTTCTACTCTCCAGAATCAAGATTCCACTGTCACGGGTGAAATGGAAGCTTCCGAGGAGGGGACCCAAAATAACGAAGAACAGCAACGATCCCAAGCCGGAGGTTCAGGAAAGGAGACTGGAGATTTCTCCGCGGGCATGCCTTCGGTTCCAAATCGCGATAGCTCCTCTGAACCGCCTACATCTCGACGTAAACAGCAAGGCCCCCGACCAACATCAGATCAGAGAACCAGCACACTGGGTGATAAGGAGAAGCAGCAGCCTTTGCGACAAGTAAATTAGATTATTGTGTTTTAGTTACATGTCTATATTGGAAACAATTAGAATTACACTAGTCTACAGATTTAGTCGATTCTTGTGAGTTCATTACCTTTCTATTTAGCCCGAGATTCTCGAAGCCTCAAATTCGGAGCCTATGGAGGAGCCAGAAGATGGCGGAGAAGGTGAAGTGGATGCAGTTCAACACATCACTGACGAAAATGCGTCAGCACCACTCACTGCTTTCGACTCTGCGACAGATGCTCAACAGAAGGAAGTGGAAGAAGAGAATGCTGGTATTAGTGAAAATCCTGACGAGAAGTCTGAGAAACCTGGCACTGATCCAAATCAACTTCAATCAATGCCCGAGGACAAAACGGAGGAGGCTGTAGTTGCTGAGGTGAGTTGGAGCCTAGATTTTTAAAATTATTAAACGTTTTAACTGATTATTTTCTAGCTATTAGTTTCAATTAAAATTTTCATTTTCAGTCGAAACTCCCACCTATATCCAACAACGCCTCTCATCAAGATCGAGACCCAAACAATTCGAACTCAGCTGGTAATGAGGTACGGACTCTTCCAAAACTCGATATGGAGTTAATCGCAACACATGGAGCTCAGCGTCCATCTAATTCTACCTTTAACACCACTCTTCCTCCTTCGACATTGCCAGACTTACCTTCTCAATGGCTAGTACCACTTCCTCCACCACCTCAAATGCGTCGTCAATATGGCAACAGTGAAAAGGAACGGGAACTGATCACTTCAGCCGCTCTGGATTGGAGTGCTTATGTGACAAGGTCATCAGGATTGTCTGTACAACTCTGTGAAGCTCTCAGACAAGTTCTTGAACCCACACGTGCTTCCAGAATGAAGGGGGACTTCCGTACCGGAAAGAGATTAAATATGCGCAAAGTTAGCATTACTGACATTTTAATCAATAATCAAACAAAATCTGCTTCTTTAGTATTAGCTCATTTATATTCTCTTTCCATCAGCAGTCAATATTATCATGTTTGGTTGTGCTTGACAATTGGTGGGTGTTTATTGGCGCTTTGGTAAATTCACTGTCTCGTTTTTTTAGATTGTTCCTTATCTGGCGAGTCAATTCCGAAAGGATAAGATTTGGATGCGAAGAACTCAGCCGAATCAGCGCGATTACAAGATTTTGATTGCCGTGGATAATTCTTCCTCAATGGCTGATAATCTTTGCAAAAGTGTAATCTTGACACCTTATTTCTTATGCCCTTATTCAAATGGTTTACCTCACCCTTTATACAATTGTAACATCTTTTTTTCCACTTCTAGATGACATTTGAAGCACTGGCAACTGTGATAAACGCACTCAATCTTCTGGAAGCTGGCAAAATTGGGGTCTGCAGGTAATATTTATTTTCCCAAGTTTTCACCTTCGTTCTATCCCGGACCATTTGATCTAATCTATGTGGTCTAACGTAAAGTTCAATTGAACTTGGTAGTGGTTACTTGGGGGCCAGATAGTGCTTGTGATTCGCTTGGTTATATATCCATGACCATTTGGTAGCTTACCATTCTTGATAAATCAACCTGAGCCCATTTTATCTATGCTTGTGTATTTGAGTTAAGTGATGCTTCACCCTTTGCAGACAATAGCTCTCAAATTAAAGCAAACTATTTTTCCAATGCCTAACTAAGATCACTTATTGCCTAGAATGTACTAGTTCTAAGTTGAATAAAAATTTACTTCTTTACTAAAAAGTGTTTCCTCTTAGTTCCTAACTAAAGCCGAAGGAAGAAGTTTTTTTCTCAAATAACCATTGAAGGTGTTTGTTATAATGCCTTTGCTTCCTTCCCTCTTTCTAGTTTTGGTGAATCTGTCGAAGTTGTTCGTGGAATGGGTGAACCCTGGACGAACGAAATGGGTGCCTCGATGTTAGCCAAATTCGACTTCAAGCAGTCTCGAACCTCTCTCATTCAGGTGAGTGCTCAACATTATTGTTACCTGATGTCGTATAGGGTAGATGTTTACTCCAAATATTAGGGAGAGTTTACAGCTTAATTCCCCTTATGAGTAGAGAATGGGAAATGCCAAATTTTTTATTCAGACCTTGTTTGAGTTCTTTAATTTAATTTTTATTTTCCCTCTTTTAGCTCCTACAAACGTCCATTAGTTTGATGCAAGTAGCAGGGGAAGGCAGTGCCACCAGTCGAGGAGTTCCAGCCAGTCAACTTCTACTCATCCTCTCTGACGGTGTGTTCTCTGAAGACCCACAGAGTCCTGCTCTTCAAGCTGCTGTTCGGCTTGCTCGTGATCACCATCTCTTTGTTGTCTGCATCATTATTGATGATAACAAGAAGAAGGTATGCAGTCCGTTTACAAGTTATAACGAGCAATGCTCCAATACATGGTGGATTTTTAATTTTTAAATCTGGGATACACTATTGGCCTAAGCAGTTAGAAGGGTAGACTTCAGACTCCAAGTATTTCAGTCTCGAAGCCAAGATAACTAGCCTAATCCACGTTTCGGTTTGGACCTTAAAAATGCGTGGGAGCTGGAGTGACCAGGATCATCAGATGATGACTTCAAGGCTTTATTGGTGGGCAACATGAATCAGCTTAATGCGGAAGGCACTGACTTAGAAATGGGTGTAAGCTGGTGCTTAGTAGACTATTTTGAAAATTCTTATAAATTGCATCCAACTGTGTTGTGCGTGAGCCGGTTGGCCAGATCGCCTTGTTTGGGCACTCTTGTGAAGAGGCCCAGAAATCCTTTCTCATTTGATATTTTTTTAAATGGAGGAAATAATGTCATTTCACAGGTTGATCAATTTGGAACTATTGCAACCATCGGCATTGTCCAAAATAGGACAATATTTTAAAATAAAGTCTAACCTATGCTGAGTCGAATTGATCCAAATTTAAGGAGACTTGAGGATGTAATTCTTTGCGCTCTGTGTTTCCTTAGATAGAAATAGGGAATTTGGACTATTCAGCGTCATAGTAACAAATCGTCAAATATTTTTTTGTGAAACCATTGATATGAAGCTTATTTATTACAGGAAATATTCGGAAGGATTTTAAAATTAAAATTATACCTTTGAAAATTGAGATGTCCTGCTAAGGTAGTTATGGCACAACCCAATCCCTGCGACTTTTGGATCACTTGGCTTTCCAAGCAAGCGAGTGATAAGATATCATTTACTTATTTATATCATATGGCAGGCATTTTGATAGTTATCATTAGCCCTGTAGTTGACTTCAGGCTTCACAGAGAGGTGAAGGAACATCAAAGTGAAAGAAAGTCGAGAGGGGGTGGGACAGAAGAGTATTTCAAAGATGTAAGAGACAGACACAAAGACAGAAGAGTGTTTCAAAGCGAGGGAGTCGAAATGTAAGAGACAAACACAAAGGCAGAGAAAATGTAAGATGAGTACTATGGAAGGGGTCGAATATGGCATACTGTGGGGTCATGAAAGTTTGAAGTGAGAAGTCGACTGCCGGTTTATGGACTTTTTTGTCGTATGAGAGTACGTTGCCCAGGGTGCACC